TAGGTTTGTTCGATATTGATATCAACGCGAGAGATCAAATTGTAGCTGCAGTGCACCAAACATCACGAGAATAGTGTTTCTCGCTACAATCAGAGTGGCCATGTTCGATGTAATTAATACCAGCCAGTGTTTTGAATAGTATCTTCATTAACCTTCCGCGGACAATTACGTTCTTTGCACCTTTTGCGCGCTATCTGACTTGTTTTTGATCACGACTAATTTTCTTTCTTATTTTTAATGTATGAGAAATCTGAAAAGAATTCTGAGATATTGATCGAAGCCTCTATTTTAATACACAATTGATCTTTGAATCTGAATGAATAATTAGCAAAGATAAAAATTCATTTCGAGGCAATTCAGGCGTGAAATTTGACATCGGATAACTAAATTGTCAGCAGAGAGTTAAATAGATGACATAGATAATGATAGATAATATTAATGATAAAGTAACAACACAGATAGTAAAGCTTTTTGTTCCTTTTCTGCGATTTTCTGCCAAAATGTTCTTTTTCTACTTTATCAGTCCCCTATACACTCCCGAAGCTTTGACATTTAAATTTGACACACCCTGTACATATATCGATTATTTCATCATTTTACAATCAAATTTACAAGTCGAAGCTCGATTCCTCCAATCAACTTTATATCCTTTTACGATCCTTTTCCTTCGCGGTGCCCAAGGATTTCCTCTTGGAAATTCCAACGGTTGCACCGTTTTCGTATCACCGCAGAGAGACTCGTCGGTCTGATCGCGAGATCATCCGTCATCCCATCGCAATAATTAATCGGCAAACGGATAACCGACGGTTGGTCGATGGCACGTTTAATCAACTTGGCGGATCATGGTGTGTCCAAAGCGGAAGGAAGACGCTCGATGTGTATTTCTCGGATCGCACGACGAGCCATTCCTCGACCTGTGCGCCTGCCTCGCTGTTTTATCGCACCGATATTCGACTGCGGGCTGCGCTTTGAACTGCACCGGTTGACCGTGCTTGTGTGGGCAAAAGGTGGCCTCGGACAACGTTGGCGCCACGCCGCTCGAAAACATTTTACCCAAGCGGGGTCGGCCGGAGACGCATCAATCAAGATCGCGAACACTGCAAATGGCTTCAGACGCTTCTACTCTTTTCCGGAAGCGGGAAGCTCCTACGGCGTAGCTTCGCCGTTGATACAGTACGACAAGGCGCAACCACCCCATCGGGCCACGACACAATGTCCCCGATATCGCGGACGCTTTTCGCCGCAGCCCGAAGGTATCTCGCCCGATTCTTCCTTGGAGGACGTCCAATTTTTCGACAAATAGAGGAGACGCGATCATTCCGGACGCGGACATATAGATATACAGTATGATGTCTGATAATCTGTTATCGCGCTAATAACAGCGCTAATAATAATGATAATTAGAGAATCATTATTGCAAACGGTTGTTCTATTATGCAATGTAATATACACTATATTAAACAGCAGTTTGCTCGGTATTGATGGAAATTGTGATTGAAAGTACACAACGTTTCGCCGAAATGTAAATGAAATTACAGTGCACTAACAAATTCGCAAATAAACGCTAAACCCTGTTACCAAACAGAAAATATAAGAATTCGATGTCGCTGACGGACAAATGGAAATCGATACACAGACACGAGAATTAAAGATCAAAATGTCCCAAGAAAGATGATCCTCGTGTATCGATCTCGTATGCTCGTACGCGTGGGTAACACGCTTCTTAGGTTTAGACGTAGGAAGTGTTTGGAATATCATTAATTCGAATCGCACTACGTGAATACCTTCTATAAACTTCTCTGAAAGCTGATTAATCAAATTAGCGAGCGCCGTAAGCAACACTGAGAACTTAGAGAAAGAGAGAGAGAGAGAGAGAGAGAG